AAAAAAAAAAAAAAAGATAGCTCGGCAGATTTTCAACAATAGCAATTGTTACAATTTATTCGTTTGTTTCGTGTACTAAATAATTTGTATTGAAGTGTTCTTATAATATGATATATTATTAATATATTATTATTATAACATATTAATATATTAATATAATATATTAATATAATATATTATACTTATATATTATACTTATATATTAGTATAATATATTAATATATTATTATATAATATATTATTGCGTAAAAGTTAATTAACTGAAGGATAGATGGATAGCAAATAATTTAATCAAACTAGTTCCCTGAGACGCAAGAGATGATTTGGGCAAAGTTTATTCATAATTGCAATCACAATTTCTATCGTTTTTAGAAATGTGCGTTTAAAATTCAGATATGTTATACGGGTTGCTACGAAATAACGTCCGAGTATCAAATGCAACGGCGTAGCGAAATGAAATTTCTTTAAAATCGATTGATATTTTATATATAAACGTGCAAACGAGTATCCAATTTTATGTCAATTTTTTCTCTTTTACTATTTGCTCTGATTTAATTTATTCTGTCTGAGCAGCGAGATTCTCTCGAAAAATTCTGATTAATTTCTTTTGAATTTTCTTAGGTTTAGGTTAGCTACATGAATCAAACCCATATATTCAAATATTGACGTGATGACAATTTCAAATCAAAGCTCTACAACTTTGTTTCTGTTTCTTTGTTTTAACCCTTTTTTTTTGCGTTTTCTACCATTATCAATCTTTAACCCCCAAGGGGTACGCGTGTCACGTTGTATCAGAGAATGAGAAAATACTCATTCTTTTAAAAATCCTTTGATTTTAACGACCGTTTCAACCGTCGTGTTGTCATTTCGCGACGGATATCGAACGAAGGTTCGATTAGAAAGCGTTTAGAAAGGTTTGTAAACGCTTGTGCACCATCTGTGACGGGACCGAGTGACAGCAGGAAGTAAGTATGTATGTATGTATCGGCTGGCAAAGTCGGAGAGAAGCATAGAGAGCGCATATATCATCTATAATGTAACTCGATTTCGCGAGACTC